GCACGCGCCGATCGATGAGTCCCTTGTGACCCCTCATAAACTAATAATGGTGTAACAAATAATAGTACGAATTGACACTATTCCTAAAAGTCAGCTGAGAGCCTACTCCGAGCATTACAGACTGAAGACGTGCTTTTCACACGTTCACTTCTCCCAACGTCCCAGGACGGGATATAGAACCATCCGTGGCTCCCAGTCACCTTCTGAAACAAGCAGTTCCCAGGCGGGAATGGATTAGGTTCCCCAAGTTGATTTAGAAGTCACCTTTTGGAACTTTGACTGCATCTCCTTATAGAGACTACGCTACATCAGCATTTCCCAAAATGGCCCTAATAGGTGCTCCTTCAGAAAGGGCTTTCTGTGGTCAAGCAGATTGACAGCCAGCTCACTCTGGGACAGTCCAAGGCACATTAACAAATAAAAACATCCTCCTCCCACCCTAACTCCTCCAATAAATAAACATTCATGGCTTTGTTTAACCTAGTATTTCCTGGAATTTACTTGACTTTAGAGGCCTTTTCTCCTGTAAAATGGACTTAGATCCTGCAAAATATATGAAACTAAGCTTGGCGAAGTTACCAAGCCATCCTGCAAACATGTGTCATTTGGGGTGCTTGTTCCCAGTGGCCGCTAGGCATGTAGGGAGTCAATGTACAGACCCCGCTGAAGCAGAACACTGGTTTTTTTGGTTAATTGCTTATGATACCATGGGCCTGCCTGCAGCCTCTCCCTCACTCTCCCTATGTGGTGGCTGTTTCTCTTATTTTAACTCCGCCCCAGAAACTGCCTCTACCTGCCTCTTTTCTCTTTCTCCTTCCTGCCTTTGCTCACATTTGCTCTTGCAGCCACAAGTCATCAAAGATGGGAAAAGATGTGTGTGTACTCAAGAGTGCACGCATGTCAGCTCAGATGGGACTGGTCAGAGCCCAGGGCAACACCACAAACATCTGTATTCATCTATATGCCAGGATAGGAAAGTTTCCTGATCTTCCATAGTCGGAGATCAATGTGAGTCATCTTTCCACCACCCACCTCACTCCTCCTGGCCCATCCCTTCCCCATCAGATTTCTATGTCTGATGAGTACAGTCAAGCTGTTAGCAGAGCAGTTTTCAAATGTGTGAATGGTGCATCTGTTACACTGCTCTCCCCCAGATTAAAAAGCGTGGGTGAACTAAAAGCCTCTCCCTCTCTCTCAGGACGGGATAGCCTAACTGTGGGTGACAGTCCCCCCTCCAAAAAAACCCCAAATGTGAGCAAAGTGGGGAAAAGATGAGATAAAGATAAAAGGGGCTGGAGGTGCTGTCTAGGGTGGAGATGTAAAGGGAGGGAGAGAAGGTCCTGGATGAGAGAAGCAGCCAAGCCTTCAAGATGAGTTTCTGGAAACTTGGGGGTTGGGAAGGACTGCAGTCTCCATGAACTTCTCTCCCTGAACTAGTTTTGTTAAACTCGCTAGCAGTCAAGGCAGTGAGCCACTCCCCCACTGGCCCCCCTTGGGGCACCATCTCCCATGTTTACGGTTCCCAGGACTGTGTCCCTTCTCCCAGAGCCCCCTGTCCCATTCCTCCCGCTCCTGAGAAGGTTCCTGCCTCCCAGACTGTGGGGCTGTGCAGGTAGAATGCCTTCCTGGTGGCCCTCCAGCCCTTCTCCCATTTGTGCTGCACACAAGGCCTCCAGAAGATTCTGTTCATGCTTATAAAGAGCACGTGGGGTGAGAGCGTGATGGGTTCACTGTAACAAGGACCACATTTGCAGCAAAATGGCCCCTCCTTTGGGAAATAAAGGCACCTCCTGAGGTCTACTCTGGCCAGATCCCTCACACAGACCATCTCACGTAACCCTCACAGCATCACTGAAAGATGAGCGCTGAAATCCCCATTCCACAAATGGGAACACTGAGGCCCTAAGAGTAAATGGCTTGCCCATGAGTGAGAGCTGGGGACAGCTGCACAGACTCGCTGCCTGAGTGAGTGAGGGAAACCCAGAGGGTTAAGGAGGAGCCGCTGGGCTGGCCAGCTTGGTGGGAGCCTGTTCCTTCTCAGGGCAGGTGGATGCCCAGCGCTAGACATTTGCTCAGGAAGAAAGAACCAGCGTAGAGACATACAGAGAAGGACTTCCAGAAAAAGCAGGGCAAAAATCTTTGCTGGAGAACTTGAATGAGCTAATGGCAAGGGTAGTCTGAGGCTGACTCCCGAGAATGGCAGCAGGAATGCAGGGGGACATGGCTGCAGACTGAGCCTGCTCCAGCCGCAGGGTCCCAGCATGTTCTGGGCTCTTCGCAGTTCTCCTCTGGCTTATGCAACATCCGAGGCTTACTTAAAAAGCAAACGCAGCTGATCTCCAGTTTTGTTGCTCTACATACCTAACTGTAATTCGTCGGAAGAAACAGTGGTCAAACAGTAGAGGGGTGCAACCCAATCTTTGCCTTTTGCCTTGTTTCCCCATCCCCCAGAGAAATGAGCCACTAGGGCAACTCTGTGCCACTGAAGTACCACTGTGGCAGCGACCAGAGGGGAAGGGATAGTGTGCAAAGATCTTGACTGCCTTGGGGAACATGCTTTACACCCTGAAGCCCTTCACAGTCCTGGAAAGCTGGTTTCCAAACTGGAGTCTCCTTAACATGAGCTTCCTGGTGCTTCTACACTCTTGTACCTGCTCCCCAAGGGGTGAGCTGGGTTCTCTGGCCGAAGCAGAATCCTACTCTGTTCTCCCAGCCCCGGTACCTGGGAGGCAACCTGGAGATACAGAGCTTCTGGCAGACTTGTCTCTGGGGGGACTCTCTGGGGACTGGCCTCCTCAATCCTGGGAGACTCACAAGTGGGCCTGGCCCCAGAAAGAAGCTCTCATAGAGACAGAAGAGGAGATGGGAGAGGGGCTGAGGACGAGTGGAGGGGAGAGGTGTGAGGATAAGGTGGGATTCCAGGAAGTCTGAAGCAAATCAAAACTCAAGATGCCCAGTTACACTGGAATTTCAGATAAACAATAACTGCTTTTTTTAGTATAAGTATATCCTCAATACTGCATGGGACATATTACACTAGTATTTGGGACATACTCACGCTAAAAATGTATCCATTGTTTATCGGAAATTTCAATTTCACCGGGCATCCTGTGCATCCCATGGTTTCTCTGACAAGCATACTCCTAGGTCCTCTTGAGTCCTCTGTCTCTCTCCTAACACCTGCCATCAGGAGAATTTCCCCAAAGTACCTTCATCCGGTCACTCCCACCATCTTACACCGCCTACCACACCACATGAAGCATCCTCACCTCAATGGTGGAAACCCTCCCCAGCACAGACCCGCCCTCACAGCTCGTCTCCGCAGAACCCTCTTTTCTCCCCAAAGCCTCCTGTTTCCTCATCCACTGACCTTGGACTCTTTGCATCCCAGCCCCCATGCCCTCATCCATTCTTTGCCCCTACCTGGAATTCCCTCCCCTTCCTTTGTCTATTTATATCCCCCTGTCTTTCTCATTCCTCCATTACTTGGTGCCTCGCAGATTTCACTGTTTGTGAATAGACGAGATTTTCATCTATGCTCAGACCTGAGGCTTCCTGAGGGCAGGGACCAGTTTCCTCTTCCTGATTCCTCAACAATTCGGCTCTGGTGGCCTGAAGGGGTGGGCCGGGGGAGGAGGGTTCGCTGGATGGCAAGAGGGGAGCAAAGAGCAGGGTAGACAGAGAAGGGGGGCGGGGCAGAAAAGGGAGGTAGACAGAGGAAGCCAAGGGGCAGGCATAGGGGCCTCAGCTGGGCAGACACCCCACCCCAAGGGTCATGCTCAGTTTTTACCTCGGGGCCACTCTGACCTTGAGACCAGAGTGGTGCCGGGAGAATGGGTATGGCCAGGCTCTGCTCCCTACCCATCCACCCCTGCCCTGGGTGGATCCCTTCCCCTTCTCAGCTGGTTAGAATTGAGCTTTGGGGCTGGGAGGGAAGACTATCTCTTGGACTGGGACAGGGGAGCTGGGGGAATGGGTGGGAGTGGGCAGGGAAAGCCGAGAAGCCGAAAGAACAGAAGAGAGAAGAGGGGTGAGAGATGGAGGCTGGAGGCTGGGCCACAGGGAGCACTTGGGGGTAGGGGGCGATGTGAAGGAGCAGGTTAAAAGCAGTTGGACACCGATAAATTGGTGCGAGCACCGCCCTGTCCTAGGTGAAGCTAGTTGGTTTGTTATCTTTACCCACCAAAGCATTTACTTTGGTTAGTCGCCCGATCCACAAACACTTTCGAGGAGATGA